TGTTTGTTTCTTTTTTTTCTTCTTCTGTTCTTTTCTTTCTTGTTACCCAATGAGGATTTATTCAGTCTAATTTTCTCTTCTCGCATTATATTAACCAATCAAAATACGTTTGCATATATGACATTTCTTTTCTCGTTCTACAGCCATTCATTATGAATAGATCAAAATAATGTTGTCCGATATAGCACCACCACTCCGACTCGTTCGGTGCGTGCTGTTTGTTGTGAAGCAAACGACACACAAATATTTTGCGTTTTCTCTCTCTCTCTCTCTCTGTCTCTCTTAGGAGAAGAAGGAGAAACAAGAATGACGATGATGAAGAAAAGAGAAAGAGAAACGAGAGAAAGATGAATTAGTTAGGAGGGCGAAAAACGGAGCAAACTGGTTTTTTTTGCAAACAGAGAGACCAATCATAGAGCAACAAGTTGTTTGTGAGAAAACGAGCGGAACGACAACGGCATACATACATATAAATAATTCCCCTGTGGTCATCAGTGCCATGCAGAAAGAACCAATAGCCAATGGAGATCTATCACTTCCACAACCATCATTACCACCACCACCATCATCATCATCATCATTATCTCATCATCCAAATTATCCAATGTTACTTGCCGCTCAACAACAATTATATGATTATGCTGTACGTCTTCGATTTGGTGGAGTTCCACCACCACCACCATCGGGACCAACAATATTATCATCAGGACCTGGTTCACATCATCCTTCATTTAATGATCCACATGCTTTATATGCTTTTCATCAACGACATGATCCAAGATTACGTTGTCTTCTACGTGAAGAACCTAAACCGTCCTATTCATATATTGGACTTATTGCAATGGCAATATTAAGTTCACCGGAACGAAAACTTGTTCTTTCGGATATATATCAATGGATATTAGATCATTATGCTTATTTTCGTGCACGAGGTCCTGGTTGGCGTAATTCTATAAGACATAATCTATCATTAAATGATTGTTTTATTAAAGCTGGTCGTTCAGCTAATGGAAAAGGTCATTATTGGAGTATTCATCCAGCTAATTTAGCTGATTTTAGTAGTGGAGATTTTCGAAGACGTCGAGCACAACGACGTGTTAGAAAAAGTATGGGATTATCAGTACCAGATGATGAAGAAGATGATGATGAAATTTTACCATCCAATGGTACAGAACATCATTTTGAACAGTAAGTTAATAGAAAATAAATTCTTTATTTTAAAAATTTTGTACGATGTAACTCTCAGAAAAAAAAGTACTTAATTGATTGATGGCTTTCTTTTTCTTGTTCTTTAGTCCTCTATCAAAATATCCATCAGATGAATTACGGCCTAATGTAACTGATTTATCACTTTCATCATCATCGTCATCATCAACAACAACAACAACAACGACAAACAGTACAGGTGTGACACAAAATCTTCTTCAACGTTATTTTGATGACATGCAACGTGTTGTTGCATCTCGATTAGAACAACAACAACAACAACAACAACAACAGCAAATACATCATTCACAATTATTCTTTCCATCTCCTCCACAATCTCTTAATACAAGTCGAAATCCAATAATAACATCGACAACAACTTCAACACCATTACGTCCATTATCAACAACAGAAAATAAACGAAAACGTTGTTTTGATGTTGATAGTCTATTAGCACCTGAACAACCATGTTTAATTAAACGACATAAATCGAGTTTAGATGGAAATGAAGACATTTGTAGTCCAGATTCCAAGTCAGACGGTTCAACCGATACAGACATATCAGCATGAATATATGTGTTTATATATATATATATAAATATAACTAAATATGTGTGTGTATTGTGTTTCATATGTCTTATTCAATAATAATTTCTTTTTCTTTTTTTTTTTTTTGCTCTCTCTCTCTCGCTCTCTTTTTCTTATGAGTGTATTCATAGACCGGCTGGTGCAATCTCTTTTTTTTTCTATCACTCTCAGCAGGACTCACGCAGACATACACACACACACATACACCAATCAAGTCGGTTGATGAAAAAAAAAAAAAAAGTGATGATTGCTATCGCGTTTTCTGTTCTTTCTCTTCTTCGTTGTCAATTGACCTAAACGAATACATTAAGTCGCATACATTATACGTATGTTACCTATCTATCTCTTTCTTTTTCAATTGAATTTTACTTATACATTAACACTCTATTATAAGTCAATAGGAATAATTCATTGAATTATTTCTGTTATGCTATTGATATGATAGAGAAGTGAACAATATTGACACATTTTGTTTTTTACAATGATGACTGACAAGGTGCGAATATACACGAAATATACACAGCATGGGTGCGAAATATTAGATCATCAGAAAAAAGAAATTTTCTACAGGTGATATGGTATGAATTTAGAAAAAAAATATGATCTATATATAATATAATATTATTATTTGTTTATGACAGGGATTTGATTTAATCCTCTTTTAAAATTATTAAATCTGTAATGAAATAAATACATCTATCTGATAGACATACAAATATTTTTCTTTTCTCATCGTTGTAATATTTTTGAAAACAAACTTTAGTAAAAACAAAATGTATAAACATATTTAATTAAATTTTTTATATGTCTCTAGTGAGTCTAATCTAAGACATTTCATAGAACATTTATAAGCTTAATACAGAAGTGATATGTTTTTTTTTTCTTTTTAATAATTCGTGGGAACCTCTTCAGCTTCTTCCTTTCGAGTTCAATGATGTTTTTTGTTTATAGATTTCGAAGAATAGATAAATGCTCAACAAACCTTTAATAGGGTATTTTTTTATAGTCAAGCTAATTAAAGGCAATGCATAACTCTTCTCAAGGCGATATAGTAGAAATAGGATAGATTATCACATTGCTTTTGTTATAGAATAAAATTCTAACATATCGAGAAATGATTGTATTATACACTCTAAATTCATACATTTGTCATTGATGAACAGAAAACTCAGACATACATTTACAAAAGCCCGTCTAGTCGTTTTTCTATATAACAGTGAATTTTATAAGTGTTTATAAAAGATACAAACATCTATTTCTTTTTTCAGTGAGTATTCCGATTCGACTTAGGTACATACTTTTCTCCACGTGTAGAATTGATCTATATGACTTCAGTAAGTTTCGCGAAACGGTAATTTTGACGATTTGACCTCCATCTTGCAACAGTGCACCACATTTATGAAGGCTTTTGCGAATTTTCTTCTTTTACTCATCAAAAGTTGTACTGTTTTATTCACGCATCAAAGAAGGTAATAGATTTGAAGAGAATCTTTTTTTTTTTTATAAGACACTCTTATAACTGTTTGAAATCAAAATTGATTAGTATATATTAAGCCTTTTTATTAAACAATAATTTACCAAACCAAACCTAGTATTCCATTGGATTACTTTTACCTTCTTCAGTGTGTACATAAGACAGTATTTTTTAGCATAAAATTTCTATCGTTCTTGCTAATGATATATTGAACAATAAAACTAGGTTAATATTACGCTTTGTAAAATGAGTAGTTAGATATTTTTGAAAGAATGAAAAGAACGATATGCTGTGATTGTATTGCCAAACGAAAACTATACAGATCAATAGATTGATTTAAAATCTTTTTTTTCAATATACTAGAGACTATATAGGATGTTATAGACTGATAGTCTAAACACGAGCCTATAATTTTTATTATATACAGTATCATTCTTCAGTTGCCTTTATAATGTAAGAATTTTGATCAAAGCTATTTATTTCATGATAAAATATTTTTTTGTCCATGATGTCTACTTTTTGAAGAGCTTCGTGAAGGTCGAAAAAAACTATCGAAGATGAACTAGTCATAATCTTTTCAAGTTTACAACAAATCTAAAAAATAATCTTCCAGTCATCATGATAATCAATCAAAATAGATTTCATCCACACTCATTCATCCTCAAATGATAATTATTTATTCATATCGAAAGAAAAAGAGTACCAATACTATGTTGTTCTCGTCAATATTGATAGCCAGTAACTCTTTTCTATCCAAACTATACATATGCAAAAGCATTGCTTCAAATGGAAGAATGAGGGTGTAGGCTTGAGTGCGGAACATGAAAACAGGTCTATACCCACACCCACACCCACACCGTCGAAACGCGTGTTCTTTTGTTGAGATGTTGGATTTCCAAAAAATAATCGTTGACACAGGCACCATGCAAATATCAAGTTAACTTGAAAATTGAATATTCGGACAAAGTAAAGCATTGTGTGTTTTCCGATATGTATGCAAAAGCTGGGTCGAAAATTTAGTAAAACAATCCTAACTGCTCTCATGATAAAGTATTGAAAATATTGTTTTTAAATCGAAAGATTCTAGGTATATAAATATCTTATTCCCACAATTTTTCTGATTTGATGCTAATTTATAACCCGTACAACATTTATATCGAAAAGAAGTTAATGAATTAAGACAAGCATGTCATCACCACTGGAAATTATCAAGATTTTTTTTTTTGAAATTCTTACCACAACTAGGTGCTTCATCACTTCCATCAGTACAATATCTTACACCATTACAAACAACTTCATATCGTATACATTTTTTATTTCGACATTGAAAGTATGTCCGATGGACATTTTTGTGCTTGACAGAATGATCGTTTTTCATCTTAATTATCATTACAATCATTACTAAAGAAAAAATAAAATCTATTAACTATTATGTATTATTCATTGCATGCTGCTGATTTTATTACACATCGGCTGTTTTCACATTGATATTCTATATTAGTACAATTTTTCCATATGGTGATGCTTCGTAAAAATAAAAAATACAATGAAGTAAAAATGAAATAATTCTTACCACATCAAGCAACTTCATATAATCCATCTCCTTAAATAGAAGATAAAATAAACAAATCACAATCATTGTCATGATTCGAATGTTAAATAAATAAATATATTACATTATAGAATCATTTTAATAGAATAATAGTTACCACAAGCATAAAAACTTGGTACACTAAAGATCATTATCACATTCCCAAAGACCAGTTGGACATGCTCGATTTGATGAAAGACAGTCAGCTGGTTCATCAGTACCATTGATACCAATCTCGTTGACCATCATATACCCAAGAATATGGTATAGCGCGACGATTTCTACATCGAAATTTCGCTAGGTGTAAAATAAATAAATTTATACAAATAAAATTTTCATATCAATTTGCTTATATTGCATTGAATACTATGACAAAAAAGTCGGACTTTCATCACCACAATCATTATCATCATCTATCTACCAACGACAAAAGTCTTGAGAATCGTATTTTCGGTGCAACTTTTGATAGAGATAAGACAGAGAGTTGCGGTTTTCACCGTTGGAAAGAGGAGATGAAAATGCATGGAAGTGTACGTTACAGACTTTTTGACCTGGTTCTGTTAAGGTTTTTCAATTCAGCTTTAAGAAAAACAACGTATTCGATAGGAGACTACGGTGAATTTTTAATCATCTGGTGTGCATTGAAACCGCCAATTGAAGTTCTATAAAACTGCACAACGCTCAGATGTTTAGCTTCAATCGTTCAGGAGTTATAGGTATTCTACTCGAAACGCTAAACCGATTTTCCAGCAATTCCTGCGAAAAAAAAATCAGTTTTGTCCTGTTTTCTTTTTGATAAAAGCGATTTTTCTGCTACCTTTTTTAAGAAAATTGATTTGAAAAGCGACAGAAAACATATTAGAAAAATCTGTCATATATGGTTCGATGCGTCTTCATCTCCTCTTTCCAACGGTGAAAATTGCAACTCTCTGTCTTATCTCTATCAAAAGTTACATCAAAAATACGATTCTCAAGACTTTTGTCGTTGGTGGTATCATATCTCGCAGCGGAAGTCGATTAAAAATGAAAGAAACGTAATTACAATAAAATTCATTTTCGTCGTGTTTTACATACCACATAAATAAGTTCTATGAATAGAAATATTATTATGTGCACATTTCTTACTACTTATTCCGTTGTAAATATGAGATGAACAACCGACTTTATCATTTGCATTATCATCATTACAATCTATTTTAAACAAAAATTTTCAAAAAGGAAATTCATCTTCTTTCTTCTGAAATACGAGACTATCACGGAAATTGTTGATATACGATCAGAGACCGTACATCAATAACTTCTCGTTATAGTATATGAACCATTTCCTCATTATATATTTGAAGGATTAAGTAAAGCAATGATAAAGAAATGCATTCTCAGCAATCTCATTGACGATCACAAACTTTTCGTCTTGAAAGGTATTGACCATTGCGACAAGTAAAATTAACTGAAGTACATGATGATAATAGTGCTAAAAATAAATAAAAGAATACTTTTTTCTTTGTTGGCTTTCTTTTTTCTTGTCTCCTATTTTACTTACAAACACACATTCGTCGATCATTAGCCAATTTTAATTGTTGTCCACTTGGACAAACATATTCAACTTGATTGCCAGCTGATGTTTTACATATATAACTACAACCACTATTATTTATATTACATGGTGACTAGGGGCAGTTTTGGCGTTGATTAGAGGCAACATGAATACACATTGGACAGTACGGAAGATCATTTTGCATTTCAAACATATCAGTGCTAGTATATTTTTCAGCACGATAAATACCCATTGAAAGAGAGGAAACATGTTTTATTTTTACAAAATGATTTTCATTAAACAATTTACGAAGAGATCAATCAGTGCAATAGATATAATGTACATGAATAGTGATTTCAAATAGATGAACAACTGTTGAAATAATTTCTCGATTTATATCATTATATAATGTGTATTCAACAAGATCGCTAAATTTAACATTTAGAAAATTTTTTCGATTCTATTTCAATACAACCGTCATATAATATTGAGGTATTTTATAACGTCGGTCTGAAATTCTAGTTCGGTTTAATATAAGCATTCGGATACAGACAAAAGTTTTGTGTCTTATACCTGTCAAGTGATCTTCTCTTCTATTTGTCGTAACTATTCAGATTGATCAAAAGGACAGATACAATCTGTTCTAACGTTTTTTTCTTGAATGTATTGTTTACAGACATGATAGTTAGTAGTGACCTTAAGCAAGCCTCACGAAAGAAGTTCTCGAAGTGATAAATTACTTTTGAATCGAAACTATGTGCATTGTGTAGACCGAAATAAGTTCATACTCGTATCTTCTTATTGCTGTAGAGAGACTGCACTTTTATTCTAGGCTTTATTAAATGAATGTCATGCTACAGAAAAACTGATTTTCGAATTTCGAATTGAAACTTTGCATTAGGACAGACCTTTATGACAATAGTTCTATTACATGATTCAAAAGTGCTGCTACGAAAGTTGGAAAGCATAGCAATTATTCAAGTCTATATTGTTTGCAAAGAACATGCCTACCAGAAGAGCATAACAATCGACTTTTATCTCATCTCTATTGAATCGAATGTTATTGGTTCATATTTTTCAAGTTTTTGATGACAAAATAAAATAACGTTATTATAATTGCTTAGTATCATTCGGTATAACAGCAGCTGGAGTTTTACAGTTTACGTTAATACTGAAATTGTTCAGAATTGTTCAATCCATACCTACGGTATTATATAGATAACATATACCGATAGCTTTTTTACATATTGATTTGAAAATCAATCCTGAAAAATATACAGCTAGAGAGCGGTAGCCTATCTTAGGAAAATGAATCTGACACTTTTCATAGTTCAATCCACACCCCCCTAAGGGTCGGATCGAATTGTAGGATTCTACATGACATTCATTTAAAAAACACTGTAAAAGCAACTTATTAGATGGATGAGTTTCCTCTTTCAGTTCATTTCCACAAAAGATAATGCTATGTGTTACATATCTATCTTTCTCATTCTTACAGTCATTTTTTGATATCCAAGAATTTCTGAGTGATTGATATTATTGATTCTACACAATTTTTATTTATTTAGAATAAGATCCAACTAACTTTCTTGGTCTATCAACTATTGTTTGCATTACATTAGAAAAAAAACAGATATAAATGATTTTATTTTTTGATTACAAGGATTCTTTGATTAATCATAGGTCATTCAAGAGCAGAATATGTTTTCATCATAATAAGTACTAACAATAACATTATCAGAGTTATGCTTCTGACTCAAGAATTTAATTTCTTTTAAACAAAAAGAAAATAGCATTATAATGATTATTTTTCATCGTGAAAGTTGTGATGAAGCAGTCGAAAAAATCAAGTAGATAAAGATATAACAAGTATATGTCGAGGAGTACTATAACACATTTGTGTATTGATTGAGGAAAAGATTTTACGTATGATATGATTTATTTGCATTATTTTATTATTATTATTTATGTTATCTTTTATATAAATTATATAGTACCAACAAATATGAATAAAAGGGAAAAGAAATAAAATCAATGATTTGAAATATACCACAGAAACGTACAAATTTATTGTGGGTTTTTCTTCTTTTTTTTGAATTATTTAATAAATCTCTATCATTCAAGCATTTTGCTTCTTTAGCTGGATATCTAGTCTCTACTGTAAATGAGAATCATTTACCAAAAGCATATCAGTGCCTATAGGTTAAATGAACTCTAATTCAAACAGATTTCAACCGTTTTTTCTGAAATTTCGTTTGAAGAATTTTTCCTAGTCTAGAAGATTTTTCCATAAATTAGAGATCAATAGCTATTGCTGAATAGAAGCCATTGATGAAACTTGATGCCAATACTGCAAGCCTCATAACTGGTTGAAATTCTAGTCTGAAACAAATATTTACATCAGAAAAGTTTTGACTGGCTATCTATGATTTCGTCAATTGAAAGTTAAATTTTGATTGATAAATGCACGAATAAGTGTATAATTTCTAGTATAGAAATGTTACTTGAATTCTTTGAGATCCCGACGTATAACAAGCCTTAAACTATTGGCATCAAGTTTGTCCGATAACTGCTGCTCAAAATGATAATAATCAAGCAGTACTATCGAATTCTTGTTTTGAATGGTATGATGAAATTAAACTTGCATTAAGTAAAACAACTGATCAAACAGTTACTTTAGATACTTCAAAGAGAAAACAATTGTGTGAAAAAAAATCGAAAGCAATTTAGTCTTTATCATATCTTTATTTTTTATTTTTTCAAACGATATAATAAATTGGAAAAGAAAATTCAACGTGCACTATTTGTTCAACATATTGAAGATAATACGTATTGATTGTCTTAATGAATAGATTTTTTGGATTAAAAAAAAAAACTTCGTTGTTATACTTGAAATTTCTCAAAAATTTAGATGTTCCAGTAATTATTTGAGTTTTTTTTAGATAAATAAATAAATGAAACCAAATGGTAATATCTCTTAATTAAATGTCATTCAAATTACAAGAAAAAAATACAATAAATATGAGGCCAGCAGATTGAAGCTAATTTGAGTTCAGTTTCAATTGAAGAATTACTGGCTAAGATTTTTAGACTTATCTTTTTCGAATGAATCGACATTTAAACGTTGACTAAGATTAACTATTTTTTGGTACTTCAAAATGTTAAAAAACCTAATATGAATACCTGGTTTAAACAAGTGTGTGTATATGTATAGTTAACTTACTACTTTCAATGTTTAAATCGAACAATTGTTTCTTTTATATCATTCAAAATTTGTTAAATTAATTTTTTACAGAAGAATGTAGAAAATCAATTTATTTTGCATAAAACATTTATAATTGACTAGATGGTATTCGAGTTTCACTTGACTGTAAAATCTGGTTCAAAGCTGTCAATGTCGATTAATGAATTAATCATTTGGATAATTGGAATGAAATCATTTTCAGACATGGTAGTGAAAAGGTGTGAATGAGGATATGAAGAGAAAACCTATGCGTACAATACTCTAAACATAAAATTCGAATTCATCATCACTTCTCTTGGTTTTTAACTTTATTTCAATCGATTTAACATCGATATCGATTCATATAACTATTTTCAATTTTTGCTCTTAAGATATAATAAGAACATCTAAACCTTAATGTGTTACTCTTTTTCTTGTTAATTTGAGTGATAATTATAAATTATTGATAAATAAAAAGTTACTTTTTTTTAATAAAATGTTTTCATATCCATAGCAGAGATACACGATAGAGATGTATAGAATGACGATCATCACGACGATTAATATCAATATTATTTGAAAGTTTCAAAAAGCATCTATAAATCAGCGGTATAAAATTTGCTCTCACTACGTGTAATATCTGAGCAAGTAATTCTCTATCAAATGAGACGTTTCTTGGCCAAACCATATCAAATTTAAAGAAAACCTACAGCAACATTTTTTTGTCAAGTCTTTATTTTTCCAATGATCACTAGCGTGAATAAATTACCGTAACAAAAACTAGAGTGTAGCGAATTAATCAATTCACACAACTATTGTTTCCTTATTGAACAGAGATATTTGGTGTTTTTAGTAATTTATCAACATAACTTGAATGTTTGAAATTATGAATTTATTTTCATATTTTATCGACAAATTTTTATGTAGAAAAAATAGAGGATATACGATAAAGTTAAACCTATGAGATTTGTTTACACTTTACGTGTGAATTTCATTTGATATTCTTTGAGTGAAATCAATAAAGAATCTTGATCAACTTGATATTAGTCTTACAACATCTGGAAGTCAATATAACATAACAGAATTTTTTCGACAAAAATGAAAAATGGATTTACAAGTCGAATATGTTCAAATCTTAAATATATTGTATTGATTATTACAAATTTATATGTTCGATTCTTTTTTTTCATGATAGAATAAAATGAAACAATTTTATTTTATCTTGTAGTAAATCATTTAACAGATTGTAGTAAACTCAATATAATTTTGTTACTATCTGTTGAAAGCTCTAGTATTGTAGAAATTAAATTAATTTTAATATAATTTACTAGATGATTTAATAAAAAAATAAAATAAAATAAAATAATTCCGTTCTATTCGATTATTATATAAAAGTCTTATGAATATATTATTTCTATTCTCTTTTTTTTTCATTTTAACTTTCTTATTTGTCCTTGTTTAGACACGAAAAACTAGAATCATCTAGTTCATCAATGATTCTTTTTCTTTCTTACTGTTGATTGAATACGAACAAATTGTTTAAATGTTGTAGATCAATTTTTATTCAAAGTAGAATATTTTAAATAAAAAACTGTTTTTCAATAATGATAACATTGTATTATGTTGTATTTTGAAATAGATGATTTGTCAATCATCTACTTGAGTGCTGGTCTATAGTGTAAAGAGAATAAGTACATATATGATGAATTGATCGTCGACGAAAACAAAGATGACAATGATCATTTCATCAATTATTGAGTTCATGAGAATGAATGGTTTTCTTTTCGATTATCAATCTTTTAATTGGTGGAGAAAAAAAATAACACTGTAACGTCATTGACTAAAAGTTCATGTCTCAAACATATATAAGGAATGATTTTCTTGTATGAAATCATTCTATTGAAACATAATTATGATAATGAAATTTATACAATCATACGGTACCGTATCATTATTTACAATGTTCCAAATTTGAATGTTAACATGTATTATTAACTTACGTAATGTTTTATATATTTCAATTTCAAATC